AATGACAGAATTGGAAAGATTACAATTGTCAGAGAAAAGCTTGTGGAAGTAGTTTATCAAAAGAAATAAGTGTAGCTACTTGTTAGTTTGGTAGAGCTCAGCTTGGTCCCTCTAAAAACTCCAGGAGAAACTGATCAAATTGGCCTGAAGGGAAAGTGCTTGGGAAAATGTTTGTGTCACAACAGGGTAAATAAGAGAAGACAATGGTCAGAAGCTACCCACTAAAGTGCACCTTAAAGAACTTTAAAAGAGGCTATACAGGAGACTGAAGTTAACCCCCGAGAGGCTGAGAACTTATTTATTTAGGTTGAGAACTCTTTATGAAATAGGTTGGCCCTCCTTTCTTGTTGTATGGCAGACCAAGGGGATGACGGACAAAGAAGACTGGGCATGTATATGGGGTGATAAGCAGGGACAGAGGACAGCAAAGACACTGGACAGATGCACCCTGCCTGGTTACAGCCTTGCATGGAGGATGAAAGCAGGGGCCCATTCGTGGACTTTATGTTAGATAATGGAGCTGAGCACTTGGTGGTGACACAACCCACTGGGCTGCTATTCAAGAAAGATGTGATTATTGTAGGAGCCACAGGGATCCCCCCCAAAGAGGCCATTTTGCCTACCAAAAAGGTGGGTCATAGGGGGAATGAGAGGTCCAACATGTGCCTTTGTATCTTCCAAGTTGCCCAGTTCCCCTACTCTAAAAACTAGGGGCTACAAGTAGGTGTGACTTTAAGCCTGGCTTGAGCAAGGGCTATGATGTTGATCCTCACTGTCCCACCAGCAGATGAATGGAGACTGTGCTCAGATAAGACAAAAGCCAGGAACAGATGAGCTACATAGCCTGAAATATAAAATTTCCAGGGTGTGGGCCAAAGAGAACCCACCTGGGCTGGCTGTAATCAAGCATCAGTGATAGCGGGAACACCAATTTGAGTTCACCAGTGCCTCCTCCCCCACACGCCTGTCACCTGGGAACACCCTTCTCTTGCTGGTGTGTAAACCAAGGACTGTTGGGTACAGACTGCTCTGGACTTATAGGCTGTAAATCAGGCCCCCGAGACTATCCAGTCCATGGTTCCAAATCCATACAGGCTGGCGGGACTCATTCCAACAAGTGCTGCCTGGTTTATTTGCTTGGACTTGATGCTTTTCTCTGTCTCTTTGTACCAGTCTGTTAGCCCATCTTTGCGTTTCAGTGGGAGGGTCCTGTCACAGGCGTAATGAAATAGCTCCCTGGACTAGGCTTCTCCAGAGGCCTAAGAACTGCCTCTACAGTCTCTGGGGAGGTGCTGGCTATCAGTCTCAAAGCTCTCATCACACCAGGGGACAATTACATCCTGCTGCTCCTTTTAACAGCTCTGTCTTGTGAGCACTGCTCTAGTCCTCCTGCATCTACTTTGGGAAGCTGGATGTGAGATACCCAAGAAAAAGTCACAGATTTGCTGAACAGAGGTCAAATACTGGGCTTCACAGTGATTCAGGGGGAATGTCAAGTAGGTGCAGGGTGAAAGCAGGCTATCTGTGCCCTTCCAACCCCATCCACTTGGCACCAAATAAGAATTTCTGGGGGCAGTGAGGTTCTGTCAAATCTGGACCCCCGATCTTTCACTCACAGCTAAGCCCCTATATGTAGCCATAATGGAGCAGGGAAAGAAAGGAGCCCCTTCTGCGGGAAGCTGACCAGGAAGAGCATTTAAACAGATCAAAGACGCCTTGACCCAAACCCACTCCTTTCTTCCTATTTGTCCATGAAGGGAAGGGAATGGCCATGGGAGTTTAACTCAGGTCTTGGGATCCTGGTACCTCCCAGTGCACACTTGTCAAAACAGTTAGATCTGTGGCCTAGCATGGACTCCACGCTGCAGGGCACTTGCTGCCACTGCCCTGCTGATGCAGGAAGCTGACGTTGGAGTAACCACGGACCATTTGAGTACTGTACTCAGTCATAACCTTGTTGGACCAGAGAGGGCACCAGTGGCTCTCAAATCCAAGGATGACATGTTGTCAAGGGCTCCTGTGAGAAAATCCCCCATAAGCTTAGAGACTGTGAACGCCACCTGAGAGCCACCTAGCCACTCTCTCCCTTCACCATTGTGGAGAAGTAGTAAAGTGTTTTTGACCCAGGAAGATCCCACAGATTATCCCCTTGGAGATCCAGATATCAGATGTTTCACAGAGAGGAGTAGCCTTGTGCTAGAGGGGGTTTGACATGCAGGATATGCAGTGGTGACACTGGACTCTTTGGTAGAGGCCCAGCCTCTGCCCACTGGAACCTCAGCCCAGAAGGCAGAGCCAATAACCTTGACAAGGGCTCTTTTACTAGTGAAGGGCAAAAAAGCTCACATCTATACTGATTCAAAACATGCCTTTGCAACATTACATGTACACAGGGGTCACATGTCAGGGAAGTAGACTCTTGACTGCTGGGGAGAAGAATAAAGTACAAGGAGGGAATTTTACTGCACACTAGATGCAGTAAGGGGCCCAGAGAAAGTGGCCATTATGCACTAGAGGGCACACCAATGGACTGGAAGCCAGAGGGAACCAAAAAATTGACAGAGAAACAAAATGGGTAGCTATGAGAGCCTGAGAGAGGGACCATAGTCATGCCCCTCATCCTGGAGCCACACCTCCAAGAGACCCCAAATTACTCTCCAAAAGAGAAAGCCTAGGTTCCCTGAGAAGCTGGGAAGTATGTTAAGGGTGGATGGTGGAAGGTTGCTGATGGGAGGCTAGCTACCCTCAGAGTGTTGGGCCCCACATTTGTACGACAATTCCATCAGGGGTCTTACAAGGGAAAGATGGCATTAAAAATATTATGAGACTGCCATTTCCATATGACATGACTCACTGCCATCATTCGGGCTGTTTGTGAGCAATGCATGACCTGTGCCCATGGCAAGGGTTCACCTGGCCCCCAGGTTTCCAGGAAACAGGAGCTGTCCTGTGTGAAAACTCACATAGATTTTACTGAATTGCCTTGAGCTGGTGGATATCAATGTATGTTAGTGCTTTTCTGCACATTTCGAGGTGGGTTGAAGCTTTCCCCTCCAGTACAGAAAGCTCATAAGAGGTGACCAAGGTGCTGTCACACCTGTAATCCCAGCACCTGGGAGGCTGAGGCAGGAGGATCATTGCGACTTTGAGACCAGCCTGAGCTACAAAGTGAGCTCAATGCTAGCCTGAACTGCATAGTGAGACCTTGTCTCAAAAAGACCCTCCCCCCAAAAAAAGATTTGACAGCCCTTTCCTTAACGTTAGACAGTGGAACAGCATTCACAGCCAAGATAGTCCAGGAGTTCACACAGATGTTAAAGATACAATGGAAACTTCAAATGACTTACTGGCCACAGAGCTCAGAAAAAGTGCAGCACATAAATCAGATACTCCAACAATTGTTTAAAAAGTACTGTCAAGAGACACTTAAGATGAGATCAAATCCTTCCCATGGCCATTCTCCAAGCTTAGTACATCCCCACCCAACAAATGGGATATTCCTCTTATGAAATCTTGGTTGGCCTGCTACCCTTCATCATAGGTAAAATTAAGGATAATCTCTATAAATTAGGAAAATTGAACTGAAGGAGACAGATGCAGAGTTTGGGGACAGACATGCAAGATATTCATGGCTGGGTACGAGAGAGAATGCCCGTGAGCCTGACAGACCCAAGTACACCCATTCAAGCCTGGGCATTTTGTTTGGATTAAAAAAATGAAATCCCAACCACCCTGGATCCTTATGACATAGGCCCTATACTGTAATATTGTCCACCCACACTGCTCTCAAAGTTATAGGAATTGTGCCTCGGATCTACCAGAGTCAGCTGAAACTGGCAGCCCGAGACAAGTGGACCAGCCGGCAGGACCCAGACCCTCCAAACCAACTGATCCTGCAGCGAGATTGGGTTGACACCAAAGATGACAGCCCTGCTTTGGTACCCCAGAAGCTAGTTAGTCTACACACGGCTGAGACGTGAGGATCAACAGAATTACAGCAGCATAAGTCTCTTGGCCTTTTTGTTATAATTCTCCTTCTGCCCCGTAGGGAACCAACCCCCTCCCCCCATAATGGGGTAAATAATAACAATGATGCTCTCTATTAAAACAGATCGTAGAAAGCATCCAAGAGGGCGAATGAGGCAGGACTCAGAGAAAAACAAGCTTTCCCAGCTTCAACAGTGGCCCTCTAAGCCTTGAACCGCCTCCTCTCCCATGGCTGTAACTCCCTGCCTGGTACAGCCTGGCAACTATGACCTGTAAGCAAAGTCCATAGCACTGTGCCCTCACAGCATGCATAAGGTTCTGTCTTCTTTCCGGGCTGACTGATTAACTGTCTCCCCTCTGTACCTTTGCTTGCAAACCCCCCAGTTTGCACTAGGAAGACCAGTTCCCTTAGCAAAATGTGTGAAACCTGGAGCCTTCCCTTTAGAGTTGGCTCAGCCATGCTGGACGTCATAAGGTCGAGCTGATTCAGTTGTACATCTGATAAAAATCCTCCTGTTTTCCCCCACTGGTCTCTGATCTCTTGGATTCTGCAACGTTCTCATTTATCCAGATTCTGGGGGCTAGGGCCCAGCCCCTACCTGTCTACTTGGCCCGCAGGACAGCTCAGAAAGCCCTCATCTTCCTCCAGGCCCCTGTCTTCCTCGGCCGCTCCTGCTGCCCAGGTGAGCTTTATCCCCATTTGAACAGATGACAAGCGGAGGCCCGGGAGGTGGAGCTAGAGGACAGCGGGTCTACGGGCGCGCGGACAGCTGTCATCCAGCTCCTGCTCTGCAGCATCCGGCGGGGCGCTGGGCGGGCTGGGGACCGGTCTGTCCCCACTACCGCGCCGCCTCCCCGCGGCTCGCGTCCTCCGCTCCGCCTCCCTTTGCTCCCAGCCTCCGGCCTCTCCGGGCGCGCTCGGCGCGGGGAGCCAGGCTGGGCCCGGGTGCAGCGCCGCAGCCTCGCGCACGGAGCCGGCCTGGGGGGCCCGCGGGGCGTGCGGAGCGCCGGGCATGGAGCCGGCCCCGGAGCCAGCTCGGGAGCCCGCCCGGGAGCCCCCGGCGCCCCGGGACCCAGGCCGCGAGCCCCCCGCGCGCGCCCGGCCGCCGCCCCCAGCCGCGCGCCCCGCGCCCGCCGCGCCCAGACCGCGCTCGCCCGCCGAGGCCGAGGCCCGCGGCCCCGAGGGGCTGCTGCGGCGATCGGGCTCGGGCTACGAGGGCAGCACCAGCTGGAAGGCAGCCTTGGAGGGTAAGCGCGGCCGCTCGCCCGGTCACTTTTGGAGCGCGCCGGGCATCCACTCAGGGTCCGGGGTGCCGCCGGCTGCGGGCCGGCACCGGGAGCCCAGGCCACCCCGCCAGGATCTCCGCCGGTGACCTTGGCGCTCGCTTCGCGCTGAGCGCGGGGTCCCTGCGGGAAGACTCGGGCGTCCGCGCCTGCACGTGTGGTGAGCGCGCACGCAGCTCGGGTGGCTTCGGCGCCTTCTGCGGGCTGAGGGGGAGCTGGTGGTGATGGGGCGCGGGGCGGGACCCCCGAGGGCATGTTTCTTGCCTGGTTGGGTCCCCCTGCCCTGCTCCACTGGCACAGGGAACGGCCGGCTGGCCAGGGGCAGCAATCGCGGTGGGAATGGACTTCAAGTTCGTGACTTGGTTCAGGAAACTGGGTTTAGAGATGCGGGAAGGGACAAGAACGAGGGCTCGCCGCCCTCCAAGGTTTTCAGGATGCTTTTGGGACCCCAAGTTCAAGGGCAGAGGGTGAGCTGGCAGCATCAACTAGAAAAGGATGTTTTCCTGGAGGGCTTCCTGCAGTAGGTGAATGCTTAGCGGTGTGGAAATGACACAGGAGGGCGGCTGGAGCTGGGCCGGCCTGGGTGGGGGCCTGAGCCTGTGTCGGGGATGGGATGTGGTGGGGAAGAGGCGCCTGAAGGGCCCCGAAGGCCATGCCAAGGGTTAGAGGCTCAGGGTCCAGAGGGAGGGCCTGAGGTCCAGGCAGTGAGGAGGATGGGGCAGCAGTCTGGACTTGGGCAGCATCTGTGCCCAGGTGTGGGGACTGTGGAGGGCTCCACCTGCCACCCTGCCCTTGGCCCTGTTGACTGTGGCTGCTGAGCCTAGCTGTCAGCTGGAGAAGGACAGGAGACATTCTCTGGGCACTTGTCCTGCCCAGTCCATGAGTGGCACCTACCTGTGCTCCACCCTAATCCCACCTACCCTGACCTGGCTCCCTGCATGACTCAGGCCACCCTGTGTCCCCCAGTGCACCCAGACCAACCCCACCCTTGATAGGCTGTGGTTCTTGGTGCTCAGCCTCGGCTTTGACGTCTCCACAGGGCTCCTGGGACATGGAATGTGTGTCCCGGTGGGGACTTGCCTTCTGCTGGACCCAAGAGTGTCCTGGGCCTTCCGCGGTGTCAGAGGAGGGGAGCCGGGGCTAGGGTGGTCCTGGGCTAGGCCCATGCACACCCCTGCCCTAACAGGTCCCGGCCAAGGGCCATGCCAGCCGCTGGGGTGCAAAGTGTCTGGTGAACCTGATCCAGACCCTGCCCCCACTGTGCCTGACAGTTTTTTGGGCTTGCCTGAGCCTCACTTTCCTCATCTGCTCAGTCAGATCTCTACCTCTGGGGGGCATACAGACCAAGGGCCATGTGTGTGTTCTGTTGTGGTGACCCTTGTCCCAGCTCCCAGATGTAGCACCCTATGATCTGGCAGGGGAGCCTAGGAATCATGGGTGATTCATAGTCACCTGAAACTGACCTTGAGTCCACTCCTCTCTCCAAACTGGAATCCATGTAATGACTCACAGTTGATTGGGTGAGGGATTTGGGGCCATAGGGTCTCACAACCTCTGCTTGGCCACACACCTATCTTGAGAGACAGGAGACAGCTTTTTTTGAGGGTCTTGCTATGTAATTCAGGCTGGCCTGGAACTCAGATCCTCCTGCCTCAGCCTCCAGAGTGCTGGGACCATAAGCATTCATCACCACACTGAGCTTGACCCAGTTTAGCCTCCAGGGGGCATGGAACAGTTATCAGGCACCTGCTCTGTGGGTTTCACCGTTGTTCTCTCTTTAATTCTCACCTCAAGTGGGGTTGATGCGTGCTATCTGTTGTATAGTTTAGGACGCTGAGCCCGAGAGTCTGTGTTGCTCCCAAGGACACAGCTTGGATGCCAACACGTGAAACCCCTGTGGGGTTTGCTCCAGCAGTCTGATGTGAGAGCTCTTACCCTTTCCTGTGGCACCAAGGACTTCAGCTCACCAGGCTCATCGCAGGGATCAGATTGTGCTTCGCTGTGCATCTGACTCTCTCCCCCAGCCCCTCAGACAGCTGCCACCTCTGGTGTAGACCCTGCCACCTCCTCTCGGGTTGGGAGCTCCTGCAGCAGAGAGCCAAGGCCGGGAGTGGGGCCTGGAGACTTCCTTAGATGAGTGGTGGCCTTACACTGAGTAGGTAGAAAGGTGGACAGAGGTTCCAGTGGCTGGGTCTCTCCTGGGGACTGAATGTTTCCTTCACCCCAGGCTCAAGCCAGGGGCAGCAAAGGTGACCCAGAGCTCTGGCTGGGTTCTGGAGACACCGGGTGACTGAGATGCAGATATTTCTGGTGCCAGGGGTGGGAGGGGGGCACAGTGGCCAGAACAAGACAGTGGGGACAGAGTGAGTCTGTGTTCCTCAGGCTATAGATTTTTCAGTGCTCACCAATTCTGAATTTTTAATGTTGAAAGTTTCTGGATTAGGCAGAAACCCACAACTTCCTGATCAAAACCACACATGCATATTTAGCAAATCTTCTTACAGATGTACAAATTACCAAGCTGTACATCTGAGGGTTTTTCATAGTCAGGATGATGCTGGCCAGGCTCTGCCCCTGATGATTTAGAGACGTCAGCCACAGCCTTTTTGGACCACTGACACAAGGATGATGGGAATTTTCTTGGGTTTATGAGCCAGAGTTTCCCAGTTGTTCCTTCTAATATTAGTCTAACTCATACACATTTAGAAACCCAAATAACCCATATCTTTCAACTCCCTCTATTATGGGCTATTGCATAGGGGAAGTAACTACTGAGGTGAGACCGTGTTAACTTTTCAAAGGCAACGGTGGTGCTAGAAGGGAGTTAATACCTTGGAAATCCTGAAGAATTCCTTCCAGTTGGTACAGTCAGTAGTCTGAGTTCATAACTCCAGGGCCACGGTCACCATGGAGATGAGGGAACCAGCTGCTCCTTGGGGAGGTGCATGGCACACCTTTTCTGAGATGGTTGATGAAAGATGCACTCCTGCATGATGAAGGAGTAAACTGAGACAGAGGAAGAAAGGAGGAGAAGCAGGAAAGCCAGCACAGCAGAGGGAGAGGGAAATCCTCAGGCCACTGCTGTATGGCGACCTCAAAGTGGCAATGGCGTTTAGGAAACAACCAGCCCGGAGATTTAGCTCAGTGGCCCAAGCGCCTGCCTGGAAACAACCAGCTAGATTGGAGCAGGTCAGAGCGAGATTCAGGGGCCACCTCTTTAAGCAGCTTGTTTTGGGCGGAATGCTAGTTCCCTTTCAAAATTCTTATATTAAATGTCTAATGGCTTCGTGATACAAAAAAGGTTAAGATTGGGAAGGGGAAGGAAAGAAAAAAGAAATCAACAAGTGTTGGTGAGGATGTGTGGAAATGTGAAATGCTCTAGTCACTGGAAAGCAGTTTGACAGTTTTTCCAGGAGTCACACAGAATCGCCATATGACCCAGCAATTCCTCTCCTAGGCATATACCTAGAAAGCAGGGACTCAGAGAAATCTGTGTGCGTTATTCACAGAAGCCAAATTTGGGAGCAATCCAAGGACTATCAACAGGTGCACGGATAAACAACCTGACCGGTCCATGTGGTGGCATAATATGAAGCCAGGAAAGGGGTCAAGTTCTAACATATATGCCTGAGTGCATGTGGGCAGCTGGACATGCACCTCTCTCCTCTCTGCAGATACCACCACACGGCTCCTGCTGGGCGCGATCGCGGTCCTCCTGTTTGCCATCCTGGTGGTGATGAGCATCTTGGGTAAGTGCACAATTCTGGGTCCCAGATTCCCCTGACCTGTCCCAGGCACAGCTCACGAGGTGGAGAGAGGCCCCTGGCATCCCTGGAGCTCTGGGGGACACAGCAGGTCTGAGACAGTGTTGGTTGTTGGTGAGATTTTAGCCTAAAATAATACATTCATACATAGCTATCCATGGGTCCTTTTGTAAGCAGTGTGGGTACAGAGGGTACCCAGGTATTATTCTCTAAACGATGCAACAACTAGGACAAATTTGATGTAGGCTGGGTAAGTGGCAGTTTTTGTAGGAGGTGGTTTGGGGACAAGGGTCTTTAAATATCATATTGTACTCTAGTAGGCTGGGGCCTGGGGATTGCAAGTTCAAGCCCAGTGTGGGCAACCTGGCAATTCAGTGAGACCGTGTCTCACAATAATTTAAAAAGATTAGCACGTTAGTGTCCCCTCCACCCAGGGATAAGTGCAGTGACGGGGTAATAAATACCGCTGGTGGCTTCCCAGAGCAGGAGACACGCGCTGAACTGTGAAGAATCAGTAGGAATTTCCCAGAGACAGTGGGTGAAGTGCACGTGCGCACGTGTGTATGCGCGTGCGTGTGAATAACTCCCTCTACGCTCTTCGATCATGCACCCAGGGACATGAAAATTACCTCAAACAATAGATTACAGGAGAAAAGACAGAAGTTTTGTTAATGCTTATATTTACGGGAATTAACAGAAGAGAAAGGAAACTCAGAGAAGTGGAAGCTTATACTTTTTTAAACAGAGAAAAGAATTTTGGCTTCATTGATAAATTGTGGGAATGAAAGAAGAAATAAAGAAGGACAGGTGTGGCTCTAGGAACAGGGAACCAGCCACTTTTGGGGGACTCCAGTCAGTGTGTGTCGTGGCTTCTTCAGGGTTTGCAAAAGGGATCTCGGTGCCTCTGTCTTTATTCTGTGCGAAGCACTGTGCCACCAGGGTAGACTTTTTAAATGAGAGTTAGTCCCCCGGCAATCAGGCCGCCCATATGATAAGCCCCACTTTGGAGGGTGCTTAGGACAGGATACTGTGGCCACTGGGCCCAGCTGCCCTTCCTCAGAAAAACTGCTGTGAATGGAGTCGCTTTCCTTTCATCTTCTGGCTAGGCTGCCAGTCAGGGCAGTGTGTAGACTGAGCCCATCATGACTGTAGCGAGGTGCCCATATCTCTGGGGAGACTCCTGTCCCAGCCAGGCCTCACTGAACCGTGTGCCAGGGACTGCCTGCCTGGCTGTAGCTCTTGGGGAGGACTCTGCAGGCTGTTGAGTACCATGGGCGTGTTCCTGGCTCTGCTTCACTCCACACTGTAATCAATTGCTTGTGTGAAAACAAACGAATGCGCTTCTCAGATTTGCAGGAAAGCAATCCACAGACACAATTCCATGTGGCAGACATGATGGGGGGAAATTTGCCTTTAAAAACAGAAATGCTGAGCCAGAGTGAATGAGGTAGATGTGGTGAGGATAAGTAGAGGGGAGCTTTAAGGCTGAGTGTCCCCATCCAGGGGCTGGGACACCTGGCTCAGAAGCAGGTCCTGTCTAAGTGCAGGGCTTAGCTTCTCCCCCAAGGAGCCCTGGGTGGGCCTGTTGGCTGCAGCCTGCAGATGGGAGGGCAGCTCTGTGCTCACAGGGCCCCTGGCAGAGCCCCAGCACGTGGCTCAGGGGCTGTCCTGGTGGCACTCATGCAAGGAGTGGTGGAGGAGATAGCATTGGAGTGACTAGGAGGGGAGCTGGCATCTCCTTCCTGAGAGAACGGTCTGCTCTGGGTCACCGGAAGTAGGCCTAGCTCACCAGGGGGCAGGCTGGGGCTCAGTATTTAGCGAGAACTTTCCAGCAGCTCAGTGGTGGACAAGGCTGCCTGTGGCCTCCCGGTCCCTTCCCAGTCTGAGTTTCTGGGGTTCCATGCCTGGGAGCTGAGAGAGGAGAGAGAAACCCAGAGGCTCACCTGCTGCCCTGTCCCAGTTCCCTTTTGTCATGCATTTTAGTCCCTGTGGGCACTGTGAGCTCCACAGCATCTCTTTGGGGTACCAATGTTGAGGTAGGTGGAGGGAACCATGGGCAGCAGGGTGGGATCCTTGGGGCCAGCTGGTGGCCAGCATGTTGGTGGATGTTGAGCCCTGTCTCCTCCTGCAGCCTCCAAGGGCTGTATCAAGTGTGAGGCGCCCTGCCCGGAGGACTGGCTGCTCTACGGGAGGAAGTGCTACTTCTTTTCTGAGGAACCAAGAGACTGGAACACGGGCAGACAGTACTGCCACACCCACGAGGCTGCGCTGGCTGTGATCCAGAGCCAGAAAGAGCTGGTGAGGGTGACCCCACAGTCCCTGGGCTCAGGGAGAGCCACAGCAGGCAGGCCACGTTCCCTGTAACACATGTGTGGGGGGCCACCCATCCGCTGCATAGCCATAGGTGTGCAGGTGGTCCTGAGGGCCTGGACAAGTCCCCCTCCATGGTCAGGGCCCCTTACTGCAGCCCAAATTAGCATTATAAAGTGTAAGAATGACCAGGCGTGGTGGTACATGCCTGTAATCTCAGACCCCAGGATTGAGGTTCAAAGATTGCCGTGAGTTCGAGGCCAGCCTGAGCTACACAGTGAGTTTAAGGTCAGCCAGTACTACATAGCGAGACCCCATCTTGAAAAACAAAACTGTAAATTTAAATCAGCACTTTTTAAAAAAAAATTGTTCCAAATCAGGAGATGCACTCTCATTTAATATCCTGCCAGTTTTATCAACAGAAATGTGAAAGAAACAGAATGACCGAATCTTGGTCAGTGTGGGTTTGAGCTACAGTGTGGCAGGGATCCAGAATAGCAGGGTCTAAAGCCCGCTGTGTGTCTTTGGTACAGTGTTTCTCCTTCTGCAGAGAAAGGTCCAGGAAGATGCCAGTCTGAGTCCTGAGATTTGTCCCACATGAGCCAGCCAGGGGGAGTCCCTAAGCCTCCTGCCACCAGGACTGGCCAGGGCTGCCAAGCTTGAGGGCCCAGCCATGCAGGCCTCTTGGTCAGTGGGTGCACAAACCAGAGCTGGGGCCCTTGTAGGCTCCTGAGGGTGGCTGTGGGGATCTCAGAGGGTTCTGCCCCCTGGCTTCCGATCTCCAGGCCGTATCACCCTGCTGGTCTGTGCATCCTGACACCAAGTCTTCCAATCCAAGTTTTGTTGCGTCATGAGCAGTAGTCAGGACAGTGCCTTGACTTGGATGCTTTCTTTTCTCTTTGCTTTTGCAGGAATTTATGTTCAAGTTCACAAGGAGAGAGCCTTGGATTGGCCTGCGCAGAGTTGGGGACGAATTCCACTGGGTCAATGGGGACCCCTTTGATCCACACACGTGAGCTGAGGCTTCATCTTGTAAAGGAAGGCCTGATGCTGGGACCCAGCTCTTGGGAGAAGTGCTCCATTTCATGGCAGCTAGAGATGCCAGCTGTGGGCAGTGGCTGGGCCCACCCAGGAGAAGGGCTTTAGCTCTCCCTGCCCATGCCCATGGGTCCAGGCTGCTTTGATAGTTCTGCCTCAGGCAGCCCTCAGAGCTCGGGGAAAAGCCCAGGCTGTGACAGTGAGGGTGATGATGGCGTAGGGGGGTGGGGGCAGTTGAAGCTAATGACACACAGTGCGGGGGTGCCTGTAGGGGAGCAGAACCTCAGAGGACTGGGCCGGGGGTGCCAGCCCCATGATGATGGTGCATGAGTGTTCCCAAAGCTAAAGCTCTGGGGTCCCTCTACCACATTGCTTGTGGGATCCCACCAGAGACCTGAGATCAGGGCGAGCAAATGAGATGCCTTCAGAACCCACCCAGATTCGTGTGTGGCTTCAGTGACAGCGCCCCAGCTGTCTAGTGTTATTGGGGTTGTTCCCATCTGCCCCTTGCTCATGTGGCTCTTTTAATTCTGTGCTGAGCGCTCACGTATGCCTGACCCCAGGCGTGGCTGGGAGCTGGGATGACAGTGACAGTGACAGTGTTCCAAGCTGGCTGCCTGGGGGCTGCAGGGGTAGACACAGCTCCCCACAAGGCTATGATGAGCAGTATCTGCAGGGCAAGCCGGGTGCTGTGGGAGAGAGGACATGCCCAGGTTGGTCCTCCAAGTCAGGCATGTGGTAGCCACCCTGGAAGATAAAGAGAGCCATGGGACATTGGGAGGAGATGGGGAGGCCATGCCAGAAGCTGCTGAGGGGGTGGGCACAGGCCACAGGGCCTCCCGGGGAATCTGGGATGGTTCCCCGGCCAGTCCCCAGCTCCTGGTCTCTTCTCTCCTGGTCACAGATTCGCCATCTCGGGCCCAGGTGAGTGTGTCTTCGTGGAGCCCACCCGGCTGATGTCCACAGAGTGTCTGATGACCCGGCCCTGGGTGTGCAGCAAGATGGCCTACACGTGACAGGGACAGGCCAGAGGCGGACGGAGGCGTCTGTTCTGAGCCCAGCCTCCAGTGGGGGTCACCTGCCCTCTGCAGGGGGAAGAGCTGGGAAGGACCTGTCCCTGTCCTGGCCCCTCTCAGGCTCTAGAGCTCCTGAATCCCTGGTTCCTGGTCTCCTCTGTCCCCAGGCAGGTCCTGTGGCTCAGCAGTTGAATCCCATATGCTAAGCAGCGTGGCCATCTTCCTCCATTACACAGGCGCGCACACACGCATGCGCACACACACACGCGTGCACGCACACACACACACACACACAAACACACGCACAGGCCCTTCCCAGCAGTGTCCCTCAGCAGCGCTCCAGCCCCTCCCCAGCCCCGCTGGAACCTTCCCTCCTTGCTGTGGCCCTAGTGCCAGGGGGAAGGCTGGTGGCTGCCGGGTGTCTGTCACCACCTGTCATCAGTCAGGGGCTCCACGGGCCCACCCCCCTCCAGATTGCTGGGGTGGCAGATGGGCAGGTGTCCCCTCACCTTGGCCAGCCATGCTCAAGGCCTGCAGGCCCCACACCCACCCTTTTTGCCTTGCTGGGGTCCCCAGGCAGGGCCCCCCGCTGGGTCCGTGGTGCTGCTGTATTGGTCACTAACGGAATAAAGAGATGACTGGCATCAGAGGAGCTGCTACGTCTGTTTTGGGGTCATAGCTGGGGGAGAGGAAGAGGGACACAGCTGGCGGGGTCAACACAGAGATGCTTTGGCATGGCAAGCAGTGGCGTGTGGGGACCAAGGATGGAAAAATAGAAAGGCCACATGTGATGCGCTCAGGGCTTCAGTTGGTCTGGGCAGGCTGTGAGGTTAGTCCTGACTGCCTGAGGCGGGGCACCATTCTGGCTTCCTTTGTTACTGTTTAACCCAAGGTGTCAAATGTTTGTTCCCTTCCGCTGCTGTGTGCTGGACACCATGCCAAACATGGGGACCCTCTACCGTATGCCCCAAGGAGCACACAGCTCAGAAGGCACTAAAATATTCTAGAGCATTGTGAAGTTGGTTTGTCCCGTCTTGGGGGAGGCAGGGTGACATGGGACTAGGGAAGAGCTACAAGGCCTTCTGGCCTCCTCCTGTCCCTCTGGTCAGTCTGGAGAGGCCCTGAGGACCCTCCCTGCAGCCCTCACAGTGTGTAGCAGTGGAGCCCGGGCCCGTGGGGCTGCTCCTCCTGGCACCCTACCTGTGGATCCCTGGGAAGCCGCATGTGCACTGGGCCTGACCCATTTTCAGGAGAGTGCAGAGGAGTGCCAGGCCCTTTGCTGAGCCTGAACTCAGACAGCACTGCCAGCTTGGCACGGTTAACTCTTCTGCATGCTTTCCAGGTAGTTCACTGAGTAGGGGTGGTCTGTGGCTTCCCAGCTGTGTCCTTCTGGGAAGCCAATGGCAGGCCTGGGTGTTCAATAAAATGTTAAGGGAATTGGGGTTCCCCCACCCCCAGCATGTGTTGGGGAGCACAGCAAGAGGCCGTTGTGGAGAAAGCAGTCAGTGATACTGTGCTCAGTCATGTCCAGGCCGAAGCTTCAGTGGGGTCCTACCTCAGTTTACAGGGCATTGCTGATTCATACCTGTAATCCTGGCACTCTTGGCAACTGAGGCAAGAGTTCCCCAAGTTTTCACCTAGCCAGGCAACTTAGCAAGAGCCTGTCTCAAAAAATTTTTTAAAAAGGGCTGGGAATGTTGCTCAGTACAGAGACCCTGGGTTCAGTCTCTAGTACTGCAAAAATAAATAATGGAATCAAATGCCTGAAGATGTAACTTCACGCAAAGGCCCTGGGTTCAGTCCCCAGTACCACAAATGTGGGACTCGAGATCTTCGGTGCCGTTTTCCACAGCCCAGCAGAAAGGCCCGAGGGCACAGCACTGCTGGCAGGGCTTGAGCTGGGTGACCAACAACGAGCAACGCAGAGCAGGAAGTCTGCGCCCTGCCCTCTTTCTGCTGGGAGCTGCTGGTGCTGGTGTTGCAGGGCTCTCGAGGCCCTGGCTCTTTACTTTTTATTAAGTATCGAAAGCCTGCTGCTTGAGGCCCCTGGCAAATAAGTTCTGTCAACCTAGGTCTGTCCAGGGACCACACAACGGTTCTAAGTCAGTTTGGCAAAGCAGGCCCCCAACCTGGGTCACCGGTCTGCAGCCTCCTGGGGAGACATAAAACGCAAGAGACCAAGCACGGGATTCTTTCAAAGGTTACAATCCAGGCAGACACTGCCCCACCTGCCCATGGGCTGAACTCCCTTGTTATGCCCTCAGCGGCCAGAGAGGTGTAAGACGGAGGGCAGGCGCAGAGGAGGATACCTGAGCCAGGAGGGTCACCCACCAGCTCCCCAGCCCGGTGCAGGGGGAGGGGGTTGCTTCCCGAGGACTTGCTGAGGTGGTTTGGCGCCGCCCTAGTGGTCAACCAGTGTTTTGCTGATCCCAACCCCTCTGGAGGAAAAGGCAGCTGGAGCTGCAGACTACAAAATCTGAACTCAGCCCTCGCTGCAGGGCTCTTGGGAACTTACTTGTGAGGCACACATGTCCCTGCCCAGCTGGCCAGCTCTGAGGAGAGAGGTGAGAAGGAAGGGATACCTGTGGGTCACGGCATTCTGACCTTCCTTGCACGTTTTCATGTAGGTGGCCAAAGATAAGTCATTTATCCGGTAGCTTATTTCTAAAAACTGGCTCGTCAACTAAACGTTACGGAGTTCTGGGTTGCCTGTCTTTCCTTCTGGAGATGGATTCTAGGTGGTTCTCACCTCGAACAAAGAATTCAATGAAATGAGCAAAAATCAGTGGCAAAGTTTATTCAAGAAAGCAAAAATAGGTGGGGACCTTGCAAGCATAGGGTCCGGAGTTTGATTCCCGGTACCAAAAGAGAGAAAAAAAAAGCAAGCAAAAATGAAGAGTGGGATACAAATTGGAACAAGCTAAGACCAAGTAAATAAAAAAAGAGGATGACAGCAAAGATAAATGTATACCCCGAGGGCTGGGAAAGACAACATGGGCTATTGTAGGTTACCATGGCAAAGCCTTTATGTTCTGGTGATGCCTTTGTGTGGCCCAAATCTCGAGGAAACCGAGAGGACTTCTATATCTGGGTGCTGAGAGACAGTGCTGAGATTCCACATCTCAGATTGGCATCAGGTCCAGGCTAATCTATGAGGACCTACTGGAGCTCTTGCAAGAAGTCCATGCGCAGGGTTTGGGAACTCCCGTGCGCAGGTGTCCGGGATCTGGTAAGTAACAGGTCATGCCCACTTCTCCAGGCAATTTTGCCACGTCCTAATCTTCTGACTCAGTCTCAGAAGCTTCCTCCAGGCTCCTGAGGACATCTTCACAGCCACATTATCAGCACCTCTGCTTGATACAGGGCCTCTTGGGGCCTGAGTCAGTGTGGTCTTGTCTTCTTCTGCTCTTGCCCTGGGTGGCAGGGGTTCTGTGTTGTGGGACTTTTCCTGCGCAGTGGACACTCTGCATCGCTGACTCTCTCGCCCAGGGTATCTTTGCACTCTCTATTTAGAGGTGCTCGCAGGAACCCTGAGATGCTGCCGCCAAGGTCTTAAATCCCCAGAACTGTGAGCCAAATACACCTCTGTACAAAGTGCCCAGCCTCAGCCATTTTACTATAGCAACAGAAGACAATGATAGCCTGCCTCTGGCCTTTTGTGGAAATCCCAGGCAGAAAAACGTATGGGTGATGATCTGGCCTTGTGCCAGCTGAAGGGCCATTTCATTTATTTATTTATTTTTCTTTTTGTTTTTTGGAGACAGGGTTTCACTATGCAGTTCATAGTGGCCTTGAATTCACTTTGTACCCCAGGTTGGCCTTGAACTCTTAGCAATTCTCCTGTCTCAGCCTCCTGAGTGCTGAGTGCCACCACACCTGTCTGGGTCATTTCCATTTAAAGCCTTTCTACTGTCACCAAGTTTACACTCACCAATTCACCTCAGAAGTAAAAGCTACTGTTAGTCTTTTCTTGCTTAAGAAAGTCTTCTTTGTAACCTTATTTCTCTGATGAATTTTGAAAAGTATGACTTTTAGAATTTTCTTGCTGTTACAATAGAATCAAAAAATCCTTTGCCACTTTCCATAGCTGCATCCAGGCTGGAAACGTTCTGAACAGTCTTTTGAATTTTAAAAACAAATTAGCTCTTTCCCAGCTCAGTACATAATTGGTCAGAGACAGGATCATTGTAAGTGACTCCCATTTAAAAACCATTGGCTTAGGGCTGGGGATTTAGCTCTGTGTTGTAAGTGCCTGCCTGCCAGGTGTGAGATTGTCAGTTCGATCCCGGTACCAAACAAACAAACAAACAAACAAAAAACCTTTGGGTCGTTCTGAAATCCTACTGTGTGATGCTATGGAGTCCCTGGCTTTGGAGACAGGTGAGGAGTTTCCTTGGTAGTCTGACTCTCCTTGCTCGTGAGTGATGGGGAGGAATCCCCCTGCTCCTTCACAGACTTACATGCCAGCCACCTCCTGGAGCCACATCCTTGAACCTGGGTCCTGCCCAGCTGCATCTGGGGCTGCCTGGCTGCCTGCCCTGTGCAGCGCTGAGGCGATTGCATCCTATGAGGTCGGGACAGGAGACAGTAAAAAGTCTCTGCATCATGATGCAAGCCTGAGGTGTCTGTGATGATACAGAAACGTAGTGTACTTCTGGTCTCTGTACCTGTCAAAGTTATTTTCTAGACTAAATTCTCAAGGTTGTCTAACTTTTTTTTTTTTTTTCCTGATGTCATGTCTTGCTCTTGGCCTGGTGGCAGCTGTCTTGCAGGCATTGCAGCCTGAGCCCTTTCCTCCTCTGCTTCAGGCAGCTAATTTATTCTACTGAGTTTTACTGAGATACTTGGCCAATATTTTTTGGGGGGGCTGGGCATGGGGTAGTACTGGGGTTTGAAGCCAAGGCTTTTGCACTGAGTCACATCCAGAGATCTTTACTTATTTTTTGAGACAGGGCTTAGTTAAATCACCAAGTTGCCCAGGCTGGGCCCAATCTTATGATCCTCCTGCCTCAGTGTCCCAGAGTCTTGGGATCACAGGTGTCACCCATGTTCTTTGCCAGTCTTATTTTTTATGGATGCAACTCTTTCGTTTCTTTAGCTTCCAGTTTGTATTCCATTTTGTTTGTTTCCACTGTGCAGCTGGGCCTGCACTTTCTGAAGCTCCTCTTTCCTATAAAATCCTCCCGAAGGAAGCCATTGTGAGCATTCTAACCTTTTCCTAGCACTTCTCTTAGAGCCAGTGGAGTCAGTGGGGATGTGGCCTGCTTTCTGATTATTGCAGGTTACCCCATCTTTCACTGAGGCACAACATGGGGTGTCATCTGTCCATTGCCTGAAATCAATTTCTTTGTTTTTCTGTTCAACTTTTAAGCCAATGCCACATATTTTATTTTAGATTTTGTTACACAAGTACTCCACTTTGAGGAACTAATTTCTATATAAAGATGGCTAATTGCTGCAGTAAAGAAGCCTAAAAACTCATAAAAAGACTTGTTTCTTGCTCTTTTGTGGCTTGTTCCCCAGGGCTTTATTGGGGTCGGGGACACAGTGTCTCCCGTCCAGTGGCCCAGCAGCCTCTGGAGCCTCAAAATGGCCTCCCTAGACCTTTCACATCTGGCCAGAAACTGAGTGAGATGAGTTTACATAGTTATAACTATGTAAGAGGGCTGAAGCTGGGGTGGTGTGTATGTGGCGCTTCAGGTCTGGCCATATTTCTTTGCAAAGAAAGCCAGAAAGAAAACTGGGCTGCTCAGGAAGGCTTGGGGAATAACCAGCTGGTCCTCACTGCAGGTGACGTGATTCCTGTTGTACAGTGCACACAGCGGAGCCAGAGGTGAGCTGGTTCCCAGACACTGCGGGATCACAGCGGAGCTTGCAACCCAGCCCAACACTGGCTGAGCCTGGTCTGTGCTCTGAGCCGCCCGACTGTCCCCCACCAGCCTTCTCTCTTCATGTCTCAGTGGCTTGTGACAGTTTCAAACCTGTGACAGTCTCTGTGCCCTGTGACCTGTGCGGGACTTCCCCCAAATGTGGACTTCTTGCTGTTTCAGTAGCTAATTGATTCTCTTACCAGCATTCCCATCCCTAGATTCGGTGGGCCACTGCTATAAAACTGAAAGACAACACTGAGACAGAATATAGAAAGACATGAAAGGGTGTCAAAGGGCTTCATCACAAGGGTACCTAGAGTCTAGCATTGTTTTAGAAGTGCACCAAATGCAAAGTGTCACCATAGAAATATGTACCTTCTACAGATTAGCTCATGTAGACAAGCACTTAAGAAATGGCTGATCAGGCTGGGAATTTAGCTCAGCAGCATAAGTGCCTGCCTGGCAAGTGCAAGGTCCTGAGTTCGATCCCTGGTACCAAAAAGGAAGAAATGGCTGATCACAGCCCCATGTGGTGGTGCATGCCTATAACCCCAGCACCTGGAGGCTGAGGGAAGAGGATCCCCAAGAGTTTGAGGCCAGCCTGGACTATGCAGCAAGACCCTAAATACCAAACATAAATAAATAAAGGCATGAAGGAATGACTGAATGGCTGATCTCAGAAGTTGGGGAAGGCCCTGCTCCTACTAGCTTTCTTGGTCACTGATGAGGTCCAGGCTGTTTTCAGCACAGGATATTTTTATCCTCAGGTGATGTCAGATAGTGCCAGGACTCCACAGAGTCCATGCTTTCCTGGGAAGAGGTGTTCATTGCCTGAGCTGGTCACTAAGTGTGTGTGGAGGGTAAGGGAGAGGACTGCGTTTCCCTCCCTGACAACGAGTAGGAGGCAGAGACTGAACAGGGAGTGCACAGGACAGCATTTGCCTAATGCTCCCATTTGCTCTGCTTTCTACACATTTGGCATTTGCTTAAAGGGGTACAAGTTGTATGAACTAGAGTCCCACACAAAAACCCTCACATTCACAGCTGGCTGTTAGGAACACCGTAGGGCATGGCTTCCACCACCCAGCAACCCACTTTAACATGATGCGGGAGTCAGAGACCCCTCTCCCCCAGAGCCCAGGACAAAGTGCTGCAGATAGAGGGTGTCATTTAACACCAAGAAGCTGGGCTTGTGGGGTCTGGAGCTCTGCTTGTGGTGCACGGTAGCTCAGGCAAGCACCTGACCTTCCTCACTCCCCCAGTATTGAGTATGCACTGACAGCAACATGTCAGTCAGCATAGAAGCCAGGGTGCTCTACTGAAGAGCTACACCCCAGCCCTCTTTCCTTTTCTCTTCCATTTGAGACACGGCTTCACTAGCTTGCCCAGGTTAGCCTTGAACTTGGAACCCTCTTGCTTCAGCATTCTTGGTAGCTTAAGGTTGTGTTAACATTGCTGGAGCCCTAGGAAATGCAGGATTTGGAAGGTGGACAGGTGGCTTGGTGGGGGAAAAGGACAGCTGAGCAGTTTGTTAATCCCAAGAGTATTTAATGACCACCAGCTTTGCCTGCCATGTAATAGAGGCCACAGAAACAGAAATGAAAGGCAGATGATGACTTGCAAGGGTTTTATGGCTTCATGGTGGAGGAAGATAAGGAGAGATGCTGCCAGTGTGGCAGGGGCAATCGTGCATGAGGTTGGAAACCAGGCCAGCAGGGCCCAGAGCTAATGCAGGGTAAGCTTTGTCAGGGAGACTTGGGAGGGACACTTTGGAGTGAAGGTCCCCAGATGGCTGGGTGCTTAGAGGTGAAGGGGCTCTGAAGATTGGGGTGGGGTGTGGAGACAGCTGGGCTTGACTGAGAAGGTGGCATCAAGGGGCCCTGGCCAGCAGCCCAGCTTCCGAGTCACTCTGCTAACGGTGCGGTGAGGGGACACAGGGCTGGGACTCCACAGGTGAGGACCTGGGTACAGGTAGGGTCTGGCTGGGAAATGAGACTCCGTGGGGTATCTGGAGATCCCAAGGCCTGAGGGTAAAGGGAATGGGAGCCCGGATGAGGGTGTTGGGGTGGAACTGGAACCCTGTGTGTGAGACTCCGTGGGGTATCTGGAGATCCCAAGGCCTGAGGGTAAAGGGAATGGGAGCCAGGATGAGGGTGTTGGGGTGGAACTGGAACCCTGTGTGTGGTCGGTGGGAATGTGAAGGTACTGCTGCTGTGGAGAATGGTGTAATAGTTCCCCAAAATGTTTGCAGTGACATATGGTCTAGTAATTCCTCCTGCGTGTATCCTTGAAAGAATGGAAAGCAGCGATACTCACCCACCAGAGCTCACAGTGGCACTGTTCGTAACAGGCACAAGGGGTGGGACCCAAGCTTGCTACCAAAACCAGAGCCTATCCAAGTGTGAAATACCAGTCAGCCCTGAAGGCCATTCTGACATAGGCTATAACATGAACGAAACTCAAAGACATTCTGCTAAGTTCAGCCAGACATCAAGGGGTAAATGTAGGCGCCTGCTTACATGAAATACCCAGCAGAGGCACTCTGAGGGAAGTCACTGTCTACAGGTGTGGTGCTTGTTTGGGATGGTGAAGTTCTGGAAAGGGATAGTGGTGGTGATGTATGACAATGGGGATGTTCACAAATGCCACTCACTGTACACTTAAAATAGGGAAAAAAGAGCTCATTAGGAAGATGGGCACAATGGGCAGAGCAGAATGGGGTCCTAGGCTTTCAGGGGTGAGGGGTGCGCCACAGCTGCCCAACACTGTGGACAGGGCAAGCCGAACACTGGCCAGCTCACAGGACACCAGGTGAAGGTGTGCGGCCGGGTGCCGGAGGCTGGCACTGAGCTCCTTTCACTGCCACTTCCTGTGCAGCTGGGTTAGTCTACACCCACGCAATCCAACTGTCCCGTCCCCACGGCCTCCGGCACCCGGCCGTCCTGCAGGGTTCTGCACAGGGTGGGCTTTGCGCCTCTCCGGAGTGTCCAGTCATTCCCACGGCCGGAGCGCTCCCGGAAGTTGTCCCTTAAGTTGTCAGTCACCTCCTTAGCCTCCTGACGTGTGCAGCTGTGGGATAAACATGCATGCCAGGCAGAGTGTACAGTGATTCCAAACAGTTTAATGTAATTCCAAGACAAAGTGTGATTACATTGCTACACATATACAATATGCATATGTGAGTTTACAAATTTTAATTAATAACTCATTTCACCTCAGAGACCGAAAAAATGATCAAAAGAAACTGTAACAAGCTATAACATAGTTCACCACAACGGGACCCCCTGTCTCACCCTACAGTTAGTAATATTACAATTAAAATAACTATATTCTTCTATAATTTTTTTCTGTTAAAATCATCTCATAAATTTACATTGCTATTATTAGTTTCCAAGACTAATATAAATTCACTCCATTTTTCTACAACGAAAATGATTATTAATTTAGAAGCACACAACATCATGATGAAAAAACACAAGCATTTTAGTAGCAAGGACTTGATCAGTTAAGAATTAGTTTTCTTGTAAAACATTCTAAAGCCAAGTAAAATATCCATTCTTATAACATACCTATAATATGAGACTAAGGAATAGTTACATAGAAGTCTACAACACATTGGTTTGTCTTTTAAAAAAGTAGACATTTATAAATAAAAAAGAAAAGAGGGACAATTCACAGAGGGAAGAGAGGTACACAAGAAAATACTGTTGCACGCAATAATTTTCACACAGATTAACATGGATTAACACTTTTTAATACAGAAACCGTACAGTGAGAAACACAACGGACCAGGGCTTCATGGGTTCTGAGACTGGGCTAAGATGACCCGGTAGAGAAAGGTCTGGGAGAGGTGACCTGGGGAGGGAGCCGTGTGCCTAGGGCTGGGCCCAGGTGTCACCAGGCCTCCTCTTTCCCACTGGCTTTCTGGACATGTGCCTGTCTATCCAGAGTGTCCTGAATTTGTAGGCAGCTGGAGGTAAACATTTCTACAGATCCGTTCTCTTTCCATCCTAATGGATATCATTTTTGGAAATGTGATAGACTATCAGGCTGCAGCTCAATATGTGTGGTCAAAGCCAAACAGGGTGGAAAATTCCAGTCCTGAGTGGCTGCCCCTTGTCCTCATCAGTGCACTTGGTGCTGGGGACTGAACGCACGGAGGCCATCCCGGGTCCCAGCTCCAAGGCCCAGAGAGAGGGTGCAGGGACGCGCGTGCTAGGCTGGCTCTGACCAGGGCTCCACTTCCTCCTCAGCTGTAAAGCTATCTTCTATCAGAATTTGGTTTGATATATATACACAAACATATATATCAACAGCTCTAGCTATACAGTGATTCTACTAGCTAGGGCTTCTGACGCCCTAGCCTGTACCTTTCTTGTCTACTTCATTTGGTTAAAAAATGCACATGGAGAGGGTGAAGAGATGCTTTGGGGGCTAGGAATGGTTGTGCCTTAAGAAAGCACAGAAAGGTTTAAATGCGCAGGTGCACAGAGGCAGGAGGAGGTGGCAGAGGTGCACACAGGGACATCACTTTCAAGGGTGGGGTGGGGAGGGGATGCTCTAGTTCCATACAGCGCCACAGAGGCTGCAGAGACGGCTCAGTCACTCTGCTTCCCAGTGTCCTTCTCCAGCTGAGCCAGGCGACTTAGTAACCACCCCAGGTCCCTGGAGCCCAGCGGTGGCTCTGACGGCAGGCCAGGGCCCTTTTGAGCTGGCTCTCGAGCTTCCTGGAAGTCTTGGGAGCCTGGGCATGGGGCTATGGTGACAGCAGGGTGGAGGCAGAGGGGCCACAGGGACAGAGACCCAACACAAGAAAAGTTGGGGAGGGGGAAGTGCCAGGAGAGATTCATTTAGAGACTTGGTTGAAAGGGAACTAGAGAGAGCAATATTAGAGCCCTCTTTAAAACATACTTTTCAAGTAATAAAAAAGAACCAATTTTTATACCTCTAGTTTTTAAAAATATGAGTGAGCCCCAAAAACAATGACACAAAATTCATTTGGTTAATTAGTGCAAAGGAAAAGTGCGTGCGCGCGCGCACACACACACACACACACACACACACACACACACACACACACAGAGGCAGGAGACGATTTAGAGCAGTTAAGAGTCCTCCACAGTAACAGTTCTAACAAAGAAACCCGAACAAGACTCTGCTGCCCCTGTGGTACACAGGGAGAAAGCCACGGCGTGCTGTGAACAAAAAGCTCCCTGGTCCTGGGGGCCCTGCTGTTTTCAAGGTCACATCTGTTAGAGGAATGGATCACACTTAAGGTCACAGCAGGTCCTCTACATTTTGGTGCAAGAGAAAATAAAAACCAAACAAGACTTCAGGAAGCTGGCATCCCAGCCTTCCTGAAGCTCTCATTGTCATACGCCCCTCTCTGTGCACCAGGTGTTGGGGACCAGCCTGAGCGTCCCGCTCCCAGCTCCTTGGGCTCAGCAGCTCACACAATCTCTGAACCAAACCTACTTTTCACGCCCACTGCACCAGGCCTTACCTCTCAGCTTGACCGTGCGTGAAAAGTAGACAACTTCTTTTGTACTGATTTTGTTTAAAGGAGAGAATGAATAAGACAGTAGATATACAGAAATCCCAGCCAATGAATACAGCATGGAAGTGTGTTGTTCTTTGCAACATTGCTCAGGATAACATTGGGGGCCCAGGAAATAGTAGCTGGGTCTCTGGGGCCACCTGAATCCCAGTGTCTTTTTACTGTCCAGTGAGTGGAAGTGCGTGGATCTATGAACAAATGAAATTTTCAAATCAAGACAATAAAACATCAGTGGAGCAGGGGTCAGTTTTTGCTGTCTCTTCCAAGATGCAGAGGCCTGCGGACAAGTGTAGATCCGACATGGCATGAGACCCCTCCTCTGGCCTGGCTGGGTCTGACCCTTCCCACTCTATCCCGACTTCCTTTTGCATTCTCTCAGGCTCACCTGGAAACCCATGCTATGGAGGGAACGCGCACACGGGGCTATGGGAGAGTACAGGCAGAACACGCTCGCCAGGGGAGACACAGCCTCTTCCTACAGAGGCAACTGATGGGGTTTGGAGGTGTCAGTTATAAACAGAAATTCTCTTTAAAAAGTACCAGTTTAAGTGTAAACTATAAAACACTTTAACTATAAAATGTAGCCAGAAATATGTGTATCCATACTCAGTTATTTAGTTTACTTGTTAAAGTGAGACTCGCTTGGTATCTCAGAAGGCTAACAGCATTTTACAGTAGCTAGGAGCACATGTGCCGTGCGTGTGCACTGAAACATCACATTTGATTACAACACACAAGGAATCTCTCTTCTTAGTAAATTTCCTCTGTAAAGATGAACCACTGTCAGAATTCACTTAAGCAACAACAACCAGGGTGTGCATTAATCATTATTTCCAACCCACAGATTCATGGTTTTCTAAATCTCAAGGTCAAGCTGGCTACATGACTTCAAAAAAGGCTAAAACCAGGATAAATGCCCACATTTGAGGTAATTATTGCCATTTTAGGTCACAGTTTGTGTAAGATAATGTATCTAAAACCTTCTTAAACACCCTTAGGTGTTCCGTCAAAATTCTAGAACACCTGCTGACACCAACCAGGATCTCAAATTCTGACTAGTTTGGTTTGCTTCCAATGGAGTCAAAATTCTAAAAGATTCCAGAACTTGCATAAACCACCTAAGAATTTAGGCAAATAAGCCTGGAGCCAGTCAACAAAGTTTTTAAAAGAAAAAAGCAATAAACAAGAAACCCACCCCACACAAATGAGCAGGAACTTCATAGCACATGATAATAGTTTTTTAGAAAATTAAAAATCTAGTCCTCAGGCATTTCTCAATTCTGTTGCCTTTCAAACAAAATGAAAATACATCTGTGTTAGCACAAATTGCCTGTCAGGGCCACAGACCCTTCTTCCTTAATTCCTGAAAGTTGGCTCATTTTTCTGTTTATGTAATTGTTGCTTTCTGTTTCTTGGAGAAGGGTATCCGTCTTTCAAGAAAATTTAATTGTATTCCTCTTTCTAAAAGCCATCTTGTCCTCCCTCTTCTTCTTCTTTTTTTAAACAGAAAGAAAAAGGTTCCTGAATGTCAGACCTACACACAGTATTTACAAATTTGGTGTGAACCCTGCCTCTGGTTCCACCCACAGCTGAAGAGTGAATCTATTACAGAGACCAGAGCTGTCATGATATTTATCAAGTACAGTAAAAAATAGTATTTTGAAAAAAATATATACCTTTTGTATTGCCTTTCTAGAGTTAACTATGAGCAAGAAAAAAATTTTTTCAAAAGAAGAAAAGAATACTTTTTCCCCTTTACTCTTAAGAGTTTGTTATAGCAGCATTACTAAAGCTAGTTGGTTTGTTGTAAAGAAATCTAAAAGGAATTCTAGGAATCAAAAGAAACTCCCCAGAGATTTTCCTTAAAAGTCAAACAAATTCTGCCCTTCTGCCTGCATCTGATCCAGGGTCCCTTTTTGCACAGAGTGACACTCCTTAAAGTCTTTCTTTTTAACAGACACACAGGAGACAGCCGAGGCTGGTGGCTGCATGCTGAGTTGTGTCTGGCAGACTCAGGGTCAAGCACTGGCTCCCTATTTGCTAGCTGGGCGGCCCTGGGCAGCTTCCCAGTCCTGCACACCAGACATTTCTTCCACAAAGCGCAAAGGGACTGATACTGCCAGTCTCACAGGGTTATGCGAAGATGAAATCAGACAACCAATGAGCAATTCAGAGCAGTGTTTGGCATACACGAAGTGGGAGTGTTGTTAAATGGGCCATTGGAAACATGAGGCCACTCTTTGCTATGGAAAAATGCTAAGCAAAATCGCATCTCAGTGAAGTCTTAATCAACAAAAAGTGCCTAGAAACTTGGGATTCTGGATAACCACTGTATCCTTTAATACATGCCAGAGTCAGCTGCCTCATCTGCCAATGGGGTGTGTGTAACGGTGCCATGAGATGAACCTGGAGAAGGGCCTTCGCATGGGACTCGCAGTCCCGAAAGTAATGAACAAAGCTTACCTAAGGGAGCATCGCTAGTTAGAACAGAGGCAGTGTGTGCAATGTTGTCTGGCAGGGGTCTGAGAGGAGGGGCTCTCCAAGGCTTGTGGGAGTCAAGCCGGCGAATCAGCAGGTCCTGTGTGCTGCTGGGGTCCATGACAGGTTGCTCCCAGGGCCACTTCTTGTAAACTCTCTTGGAGTCTGAGGGAGGGACTGGCCTGGTGCTAGCGCTCTTCTGATCTTGTACAAGTTGCCCTGAAGATGTAGGAAACCTCTGCTAAGCCAGTAGCAGTGCCAAAAGCCTTCGAGGTTTCTTTTTGCATTTAAATCCCACTCTGCCATGTTCTAGTCTCCAGTGGCCCAACTGAGATTTGACTGAGTCCAGTGTGGAGATGAGAAACAGTTGTGAGGCATGGAGTGGCAGCACACTGTCATCCGAGTCCAGCCTGCTTGATGTCCCCACGGCCACTTGAGATGGATGCAGGGCCTCTATCTTCCATGTAGCAGCAGGATGTAGAGTCACTACCACTCCTCTCCAGGATAAGTGCAGTTTTAAAATAAATGCAATCAAATAAGCAATTTAAAAAAGGACAGAAAAGACAAATGGAACCGTGTCACTGACATCATTATTGCCTGGGAAAAAAAGGAATGCCATGCCTTCATCTCTGGAGGTGTCTTTGAGAAGGGTTCTTTGGCTACAGAAAGGAACAGTTTTGCTTCCTTTTCCAATTTGATAAGGACATCTCTGGCATGCTCCATTTTGAGGCTTTCCCTCTGAAAATCTGTCATACATCAGAAAGAAAAGATGAACAGGAAAAGAGGCCTCTGCATCCCTGGGCTGGAATGTGCTGTGGCAAATGGCTCCTGCCAGCCTCACCAAGTGCCAGGCTGGGCCTGTGGACAAACTTGGGCTCTGTTGAATTCTCTCTGCTAGTTGAGGGCACCAAGCTATTTTCTTCTTTCCACTTTCTGTCCTAGTGGCTCCTTGGTAGGCTAGCAGGAACAGCTGTCCCCCATCCTACTTGCCCTCAGCCAGACAACGGTGGGGACCTGTGTCGTTCTAGCGACCATGAACCATCAGCAACACTTCCTGAAGCTTCCTCATCTCCACATTCCGGTTTCCAAGAACGTTTGCACTCCTCACTCACACACACTCACGTGACCTGATTCTTCCTCCACGAGCTTATTCCTAAATGAGTGTTTGCAACTTTCAAGACCGAGTCAAGGGACACCATCCCACCAGGTGTGCTCCCCTTCTCAATCTTCTAACTGGCACAGTGGTGTCCCAGCAGGCTGGGTGCTCCAGGTTGGGAGGACAGAGCCTGGCTGGCTTCCCCACTTCACAGACACCCAGCCACTAGGAAGCTGTGACACATCCATGCAGCCCAGGAGGCAAAGGGAAACGGCCATTTGCTCTGGCCTCCTCCTACCTCTTAATTGCACTGACCACTCACTGTGCCCCACAGTGCTAACTGCCACTGCCACTGCACTTGTCCTCCATGGCTTGCTTGCTCCTTCCCCTTGGAAATCTCCTGAACTAAGCACATGTGCCAGCACCCAGATGGGTAGTGAGAACCCAGGCAGAAGCGGGTTGACCTGAGGTTCATGAGAACTGGAACTGGAAGTCTCTCTCCCACCTGTCCTTATCAACTTCTCCTTATTCAGGACCATTTTCTTCCCTGAGGAAAGTTGAAGCCCATGCAAGATTAGAGTATGTGCTGTGAGACTTAGGGTCTACATAAGGAGCAGGTGGGTGTCTCTCCACTTGAGAGGTTGGTCAAAGGATGGCAGCTTTGCTGAGGGGACCCAGTGCTGCAGCACCCAGTGGAGACTTAGGCCAGGGTGCTAGTGAGTGTGCTGGGATCTTCTTCTGATGCAATAGCTCTGCATTCAGAATTAGGAGGGGATGTAAGGCGAGGACTGGGGCTGGGCACAAACATCTCACTTCTGCTCACAGAAGCTGCTCACGTAAAGCCTTTCTTCCCGGGGGCTGGTAGCTTCTGGGCTTGGTGGGCAGTATATGGGCATCCATCACCCAGTGTGAGCTTTGAGAGGCTGTCAGAGCCCAAGGGGCTGGCTATGTGGCTGTGTTGTGGTTCTTCATTTGCCAATGATGAGGGGGTGTGGCCTGCAATATCTAGGCAGCTACCAGACCTTGCAGAGGACTTTCAGCTTCTTCTGGAATTGGACATCCCTTTCTGCCATGGTGAACTACATGCTGGGAGGAAGGGTGTGGGTGGGATGGGTGCAAGGAAGGAGAATGGTGCTGAAATGTCCTGGGGGCACTGGCTGCCCACAACTCTTATGTCAGCATCTCATGACCAGCAGCTTTCAGGAGGGGCCATAAGTCATACTCTGGGTGTGCTCCTGGGAAAAGGAGTGTTTTGCAAAGGGGCTAGGTCAGTGCTGGGAAGAAAGGGTTTTTTTGTGGCTGATGTGAGGCAGGCTGAGTATCGTCATGATTCGAACGCACATGAGGAGAGAACTGGAGGAGACGCTGCCTAAGGGTTCAATAATCTAAGGGGTGTGCCAGAAGCCCTAAACCCACATGCTATCTCCTCAGGGCCAGAACCCTGACAGTCCAGGAAAATATGCTGACAGTGATCGTGTTGCCCAGAGCCTAGGCTGGTCTGTGCAGAGAAAGGCTGTGACTCTTCCAACTTTATTCTGTGCTGGGTCTTTCTTGGTAGCTGTTTGTGGAATAGAGACGACAGGAGCAATCCTCCTAAATCCTGGGTCTTTTCTTTTTTTGTCTGACAAAACTGGACATCTGTGTGTCCCTCCAGTCTACTCAGATACTCACAGATATAATACAATAAATTTAAATATTAAAGGGAAAACACAAAGATGCTTGGAATAAATGTGCATTTAAAATCCTAACTAAAATAACGAGGGTGATAATAATCATAATTACAATGGCAATGACAAAAATAAAATAATCAGCATGATAACATTAACATTATGAGCAGCATGGAACTTTCATTCCTGTCTTAGAGGAGAAAAGGAAATTTTTGGGAGAAAGAGTAAGAAGCTTTCAATTAAGAGGACAAAAGGAAATGAGAACTTTTAGGTCATTTTCCCCCTAAGAGACAGATCTGTAGAGGACAGGAAGTGCATTGTGCCAAAGACCAGCACTCTGCCCAGGATGGCAGACAGGGGCTGCCAAGCCGACACTGTGACTTAGCACCAGAAGACGCCATGGAGCACTGCTGCCATCTGGCTGCACACAGGTCCATGGCAGCTGGGTGCTCCAGGCTGGCATGGCTCAGGGAGGATTCCCTTGTTCTCTTCGAAGTGCCCAGCTCCTTGGTCTCAGACTGGGCACCATCCCACCTGAGGCTGATGCTGGTACTGATCATGGCGAGCAGAGTGACTGCCTGCTGCAGGGCTGGTGCCACTCTGCCTCTGTGTCCCTGTGGTATTGGCAGCATGTGTCAGCTTTATGCAGCTTGTGCTGTCCTTCCTTTTGGCCCAACACCTGCCCTAAGCCACTTCCAGTTTGGGGACTTGTTTATAAGGTAAGGAAGAATTTATGGATGGGGTGGGCAATTTCCAGAGTTCTTTCACAGCTAAGAGCTAAGTAACGGCTTCGCTACTGAAGGTGGTGGACATCACTTTGAAACTCTTTCACAGTAGATCACTGAGGGCCTGCGAAGGAAGAGGTAAAGGAAGGGAGGAGGAGGACAGGCTGCTGACCAGATGATCTCTGTGCGCTAGAAGCTTGGCTGAGGGGTGGGTTAAGGACTCCACATCAGGGCCAAACACTCAGAGCCATCCTTTTAAGCCCATCCTTGCCCAGAAAGTTTCTCTAGCGTCCCCAGCTTCAGAGTTGTCCACCCTGGAAGGCAGGTACCCACCACACTACCTGCAGCATTCAAAGTCCAAGAAAATGTCCAAGTGTCAGAGACACGAGGAGGGCACAGAGCAGACTCTGGTGACTTCATTCTCTGTGTTTCCCAAGCACAGCAGAGGCACCACAGTCAGCCTCACCAGTGTCCTTCCGGCCTTCTGCCCACCAGACCTCTCAAATACCAAACACTAAACTGTGCTTTGGGCAGAGCTGGGCAACTGGAAGAAAGAATTGAACAGGAATGGGTCAGTGGTTGTCTAGAGGATAGCCCTTCTCCACGGTGCTGGTAGGAGAGAAGAGCATGGCTTCTCACAGAAGAGGGGCTAGATGCTACTGGGGACAGACACCTGGCCTCTGGGCCTCTCTACAGATGGCCCCAGGAAGCTGTGCTGGACCTGAAGGCTGGAAGCTGCCACCTGACAAAGCTAACGGACATCTGTTTGAGCTGGGGAACGGACAGGTAAGTGTGAAGGGTGGGGCGCCTCTCCAGGTTTCTGATCCCAAAGGAAACTTTAACAAAAACCATGTCTGTCATCAGAGGTGTCTGTCACCATCTGGCTCTCACACAGCTCTCAAGAGCCTTCAATTCTTGCCTCACGGTCCCACCAGCTTTCCTGGCATCCTGCTCACAAACAGCCCAAGAAAGACAATGGCATGAAACATAGAGAAAAAAACAAATAACAACAACAAAATATGAAAGACCCAAGTGAAATGTTACCACAGCGCAACAGAAGAGCAAGGCGGCCACAGACAAGCTCTGTCTGCTGCTGTGTACCAGTGGAAGTAAACCCTCACATGCGTCTGTTTGTCATTCGGTAAGGCACTAGGAGGGAACGGTGTAAAAGGGCCGTGACGGCGGGGCCCTTGGACACAGGGGCGGCACCCGCACTCACACCCACATGTGCACACTTGCTTGCTCACATGGACCACAACATTAGTTACATGCCTATGCTATCCCACTTTTTTGTGCAATCACAGAGGAATAGTCTATTGGTATCACTGGAGTCAGATACAAGGTAGAAAACAAGGGTCAAGTGCTACATTCTACTAGGATGTCGGCGACAACCGCTAGCCCTACGCTAAGTGACTAGGGGTTGATTCCAAGAAAATAAATCTTCAGAAAAGAAAAAACCAAACAAGAAACAAAAAGCAAACAAAAAAATCCTCTGAAGTTTGCAACACACATTATTAATGACATCTGAGGAATAACATTGCTTAGGGATTTGTCCAGAGCACTCAGAAAGGGAAAATGAATCCTTTTCTCAGGGGTCCCCGTTAGCCTGGCTGCTCCCCATCACTCCTGACAAATGGCCAGAACTGGGCTCCCCCAACCAAACCCTGCACCTTGGCCCCTGAATTCAGCCATGGCCTGATGCCCTGGAAGGATGCTGACACGTTTGAGTTCTGGAAAAATCCCTAAATCTTCTGTTCAATTCATTAAAAATCTACTGGACTTCCCATTAAGTGTCCCTGACAGCAAGTTCTTCAGTGTCACTTGCTGCCATATGAAAATAATCTTTGAAAAGTTCATAGATAAAGTTCTTCAAACCTGGGGCCCCTCACTCCTGGGATCTTCTCGTGGCTCTCTTCTTTCCAGTTTGGTGCGGAATGGGTTTATGAGCTGTGTTTTTCTGTTACTGATGTTTTCATTTTTTTCCTTTTTCTTTTTTTAAAATAAAAAGCATAGAATCTCCCCCTCCTCAATGCCTTCCTTTTAAAACGTCCTCTTCTCTGCTCTAGGCCCTCCTACTTCCCGGTTCAGCTTTCTTTCTGATCCCCCTGCCCATCCGGTTGCATTGTTGGTATGCGGCACCTTCAGTGTGCAGCAGCTCTGGCCCCTCCTCCCACTGCTCCCTCCAGTGTTTATATGTAAGGGTACTGGTTGACCTTGGCGGGGCTCAGTGGGTATCCAGTGTAGACAGTGGAGGCTGGCGAGGCGCTGATGTAGGTCTGGTGGGCAAACTGGGCTGGATATTGACTCGGATGGATGGTGGGCGAGGGCAGCACCCGGGGGCCCATGCTCACAGGGACCTGGTGGACGATGCTGGCTGGGTAGGCAGTGTGCTGCACGGTGTGGCGCGCTGAGCCTTGGGAGGCCACGAGATGGGCCACGGTGCCAGTGGAGCCCAGGGCAGCAGGCGCCGTGTAGGTGTAGAGGTGTGGTTGTGTGGGGAGGTGGGCAGCAGCGGCGGCCAGGTGGGGGTGGACGGTGCCATGGCTGGGGCTGTTGTGTGGGAAGGAGTACGGGGCCTGGGCCATGGTGGGAGTGATGTAGGCCTGCTGCCGTCGGTGGCTCCCAGTGCGGTCCGCAGCCATGTGCTGCTGAGCCTGCAAAGGACAAGCAGCAAGAGGCGCTACGTCAGGGGCCAGGCTCAGGGAAGTTGGAAAGGAGGAGGAGATGCAGGAGAGACAGAGGCGGCCTCCCCTTCTGTGCAGATGCTAGGACACTCCTCTATGTCTGGCATCTCCCTCTGGCTGGGGACGAAGGGCAGGCCACCACCCTTTGCTAGGCTGAGATGCACTGTCAGGCCCTCCTTATATGTAAGCCCTGTGATGAGGGTGCCACCTCCCCAAGAACGATCCAGAGTCGCTCCACTCTGAGACCTTCCTGATGGAGCTGGGTGGTAAGTGAGGACCTTGGCCCTTGGTACAGCTAAAGAATAAGGGGGCTGAAGTCTTCAGGGGTCAGGCTTACCTGGCTGAGATTGAGGGGCTGTTGCTGCTGGAAATGGGGGCCTGGCCGCTGCTGCCGGTAGGCAATGGCTCCCGATGAGCTCCCTGAAGAGTGACCACTGGTGGAGGTCACGTTGCTGGAGGACTTGGACTTGTAGGAGGATGAGTGGTGACTGGTGTTGACTGTGGCAGGAGGAGGAACAGATGGTAGATTAGTGGCTGACTCTTGTGTGTAAGGAAGGTGCTACCCTCCAGGTAACAGCGACCTTCTGGGAAGGACATATTCCTCAGACTGGCCAGGCACAAATCAGCTCTGCCTCTGTACCCAGTTGGGTTCTTGCCTGGACTTTAGATTGGCAGTGGGTTCTGCTTGCTGCTTCAGTTGGAGATAGGGTAGGGTATTGGTGCTGCAAATGCAGGGGCTGAAGCAGAGGTCAAAGGGGCAGACACAGGTGAGGCAAGGCAAGGCAGAGCCCAGTTGGGGTCTCACATGGGTCCTCTAGCCTCAGCAGGACCGTGAAGCCACGGGGCTTCAAGAGGATTGGCTGATGAACGGATCTTGGCCTAGACAAGCTTCTCAGCAGCAGCAAGCTGGGGAGGGCACATCCCTGTTTCCCAAGCTAGGCTGACTCTGCACGGAGGAGCACTGTGGGCTGGGGTGGAAGACAGGGTGTGTCTGTGTAGACCCAGTGGGGAGCCATCTCACCCACTATCCCACTCATAGAGCGCAGTGGCATTTCCCATGTCCCAAGTGAGCTCCACTTGTAGCCCTGGGCTTTCCACACACAGTATCTGGGGGGTTGTACAACGATCTGGCATACAACTCAACAGAAATCAGGTCTTGAGAAATGCATCAACTTAAAAATTTGTGCTGCTTTTAAACAACTTAGGGGACATCTGGGCCACTGCTCTACAGTCCTGTGTCCTGCAGTGAATGACTTGGCATGCCTCACAGGACTCCTTGGTGATGTGATAGGATGCTGCTTCCTGGCAGGGCTTTTGATAGAGGTATCCCTTATGGCCTCGAGAAACATAGCTTTGCTTCTATTTCCTCAGAGGTGCTGAGCTGGGACTCCAGCCTAGCTCCCTTGACTTCAGATCATCAGAAGCTGGCAATCAGTATGGCCTGGTCCTGTGGGCCAGATGCATGCCCAGGTACTGCCTTGGACCCATTTCTACTATAGGTAAGTTCTCCCACTTGTAGGATCAGCTGACCCTGGGAGAGAGACCAGGTGGGATTCTCATGGTGTGGAGCAAATTGGCTGCCCACATTTACTTCTCAGCCAGGGCACCATGGGCCCAAGCAGGACTGCCGGCCCTCTGTGCCTGGTCCTTGAGCACTGACTCTGAAGTCCAGGCCTCTCAGAGTCCACATAGTTGCCTCAGACTCTGGAGGAAGTCTAGGCCAGGCTGTGGACATGCAGCAGCTTCCTCAGAGAGCTGGGCTGGCTGTGTTTAACGAGCATTTCTTCGAGGAAAGGGAGCAGGTTACCTAACGAGTCTGGGCAAGAGCTCTGAAAGGGGACCACCTGGGCCACTTTGGGAAAGGCCAGGGATGCTGACTGAGGGAGAAAGAAGCCTGAGGCTCTTACTGTTTCCCCTTCAAAGAGTCTTTTGGTGCCAAAAGGGCACTGTTCAAGATGTGGTCCTAGGTCCAACTCTGCACCCTGGTGGCAGCAGTGGAACAGCCTAGGTTCGATGTGTGCTGAAAGATCCCATTTCCTGCAGCAACTTCTGGTGACAGGCAGTGAGGGGTCTCTTCTCACATTTGTCTAGATGTGACCAACTTCTCCCATCTCAACAATCTCAGCAATGTGTGCCTCCCTTTGAAACAGTGCCACCATCAAGGAGCTGCTTGGTGGCAGCTGTAACAATGTGTGGCAGAAAAGCACAGCACGCAGGTTTCTTTTAGGTTAGTCTCTAATTTGATCCACTGTGGGCACAGGCAAAAGAAATACTGAATGGATGCTACTCTGTAAATCCAGCGTGTGCCAGGTGTGGTGGCCCATTCCTGCAATCTCAACACTTGGGAGGCTGAGGCAGGAGGATTGCCAGAAGTTGGAGATCAGCCTGGACTATATAGTGAGTTTAAGATTAGACTGTACTTGACCCAGCTATTCCACTTCTAGGCATATTCCCAGAAGAACTGAAAACATCATACCACAGTGATATATGTGCACCCATGTTTATAGCAGCACAATTTGTAATAGCCAGATCTTGGAAACAACCTAAGTGTCCATCCACTGAGAAATGGATAAAAAAGTTGTGGTATTTTTATACATTGGAGTACTACTCAGCTATGAAGAACGATCACATTGAGATATTTATAAATAAGTGGATGCAACTTGAGACCATACTCATAAGTGAAATAGATCAACTCACATGTATAAATACCATGTAGTCTCCCTAATATAAGAAATGCAAAGAGTACCTAAGATTTTATGGTAATCATGATTCCCCATTACATTGCTTTGAAGCCTTATAATGTTTTCATTCATTAGTTGGAAATGTTTTATTCTGTTTTGTTTGATTTTATTATGTGTGATGGTATGAACAGCTATTTTGAAAAAAACAAGACATTATAATAGCCATTGCAGATCATCTTGCTTTGAAGTCCTACCATGCTTTTGTCCTTCTGTTTCCATTGGTTCTATCATGTTGTATCTTACTAGATTTTAATATGTGTGATAGTATAAACAAATTTTCTATGGAAGATGAGATAACATAGTAGCTACTGTTCATTTTCTGTTATTTGGTTCTGAATGCCCTGTAATATTTTGTTTCTCTTGAATGGTTTTATACTATTTTGTTATGTTTGAATGTGAAGGTATGCTCATCTATTTCAAAGAAGAGACATTATAGCAGCTACTGTTAATACCCGGTTGTCTTGTTGGAAGTGCTATGTTGCTTACATTGTTCTGTTCTGACCTGCTTTGTTCTGTCCTCTTTTGTCTTAATCTCTTTAAAATTTAAAAAAAAAAAAAAATATTAGCCTGTACTACATGTGAAACCCTAGCCCAAAAAACAAAATAAATAACAACAACAACAAAAAATTTACTTCAGCTACTTGAACAAGTGCTACATAAGGATCACCTGCAATAATTGGGCACTTTCTATTTTCCTGATCCTCACATTTTAGTAGCAGAAAATAACAAAAGCAGTCTCAAGAAAGATCTTTCTCCTATTACCTGGCCCCAGGCTGTCACATTCCACCAGTACTTCGCTGGCCTGGGTTTTCAGGGGGGGCACGATGATGGTTCGGGGGTTGCCAGTGCAATGGTTTTCCAGCACCCCCTTGGTGTCAAAGGTGTTAGTGGTGTTGTGCCCGGTGCGCTGCTGCACAGAGTAGGGGCTGGTGTTGCTAGAGGAGTCAGAGTACGGAGAGTCGTGGACCGTGACACAGCTGATGACGTTTTTTCTTTGCTTGGAGACAGTGCTGCGAGGTAGAGGGAGAAGCTACATTGGTGAGAAGGCAATTTCAGAGAATCTATTTGTTTTGTTTTGTTTTTTGTTGTGCCAGGGATCAAACTCACAACCTCATGCTTGCGGGGAGGCATTTATGCCACTGAGCTAAATCCCCAGCTCCCAACTTTTTTTTTGGTCTTTTTCACTTTTATCAGTACCGGGGATCGAACTCACGACTGCCTGCTTGCAGGGCAGGCGCTTATGCTGCTGAGCTAAATCCCCAGCCCCAGAGAATCTATTTGTGAAAAGCCCCTTGCCTTGCCCTGAACAGGTGAGGGAGGCTGAGCTCACAAATGTCACTTGTCTAAGCAATGCCAGGGGCATATGTGAGACAGGAGGAAAGGGCTGGCGCTTTTCGGTGCCTCTGGAAGGTGGGGAGCTTCCAGGCAGGGCTGAACTCTGAGCCTCAGACTCTGCTGAGCTCCGTGGCAATCTGCTCTGTGCCACAGGAAGGGGACATGGAACACAGTGAGACCTGGTTTAGGAGAACACTGGTGTTGGAAGAGAACTGGTCATAAGTTTAGGCCAGGGCTGTTCAGACAGGGAAAGCTTAAGCAAAAGGGAGTGGGATGGCCAACGAACCAGGTTGCAGCTGGAGGGACAGGTGATAAGAAAGGCCCTGACATCCTCTGCCAGCTCTCTGCCTTGTGTGCAAGCCATCCGGGGCCTATGGGAGTCCCTTTGTAGAAGAGGTTTGGCCCTCCTGTGGCTTGTCTGGCACTGGACCCCAACCAGTACAGCATCAAGGCCTGGAAGAAAAGTCCTGCATGCTGAGGCCACAAGGGCCTTTAACTGCCATCTGGAATTCACATGGAATGGCTATTGGTTTGTACCTTCTTTTTGGATACTTATGTTAGTGTGGTCATTTTGGGAATCAGTCTTGTCTGCCTCCCAGCTGCTAGGATGATGGATGTGGATTTTATTGCTTATTATACAAAGTTTTAAAAATTGAGTGCCCTTCTAGTTTTGCATATTGATCATTTTAAGAAACAACAACCTGGTCAGTTTCCTACTAATTTGATAAGGGAAGAAGTGGGCATTTATAGAGTCCCAAGGACCCTGTGAGGGGTCCTGGCTGATACTGCCGAGCTAGAGATGTCTAAAGGAGTAGCAGAGACATGGGCATGCTGAAGGCCTGGGGAAGCCTGGCAGAAACTTATGCAGAAGGATCCAGCCGAGCTGTGAGATGCTAGAGGGCTGGGTGGGATGAAGGCCATGGGAGGCTGGCCCCACTCCCAAAGCCCAACGACAGCGCTATGTGGGCAGACAGCAACCCCAGCCTGCACAGTCCTTTGTTTCAGGGCAGAAGGTTCCTCAGTGGATCTGAGCACAAAAATGGCCATAGCCAGATGTCTGACTTTGGCTTTTGCTGGTGACAGGTTCTGAGGCGGCTATTCAACCTGTCATGGTAGCATGAGAGTAATAAACCACCTAGGTCACAGGCCTGTTCTGAGAACTAAGTGAGAAAATACAAGTAAAGCGCTTTGACTAGGGCACAACACACAGTAACATAAGCATGCCATAATTGTTAGCTACTATGATTATGTTTTAGGTTGAACATCCCAAGTTCAAAAATGCAAAATCCCTAAGTTTTTTAAGTCTGACACATGATGTCGTAAGTGGAAAATTCCATACCTGACCTCATAAAATAGGTCACAGTCAAAATGCAGACACACTAAAAAATTGGGTATAAATTTTCCTTCAGATCATGTGTATACAATGTGTGCGAAATATAATAAATTTCACCTTAGACTTTGCTCTTGTCCCAAGATAGCTCATTATGGATATGCAAATATTCTAAAATCTGAGAAAATAAAAGTGAAACTCAAAACTCTTCTGGTCCCAAGTATTCTGGATAAAAGATACTCAACCTATAACTATAACCAGCTGTACTGCCTTACGCAACATGTGAAAACAGGCTTGCAGAAAAACTATCTAGGCAGGGGGAATTCTTTCTTGGTGGGGACTTGCTGCAAAAGTTTCTTCTTTCATATTCTGTGCATAAACCAGAAGATACTATGAAAGATAATTATGAGTCACCAGGTATCCCAGACATCTATGCTACTGGTAGGTGCTGCAGGGAGTACCTGCACAGAGAAATACAATACACATGTCTAACCTCAAGAAGATTAAAATCTCAGTGGGAGACTGTATAACAACACAAGTTAAACAGTGAAAACTTTAAAATAATCAGTTAAGGAGAATAATGGATGTCATGAAGCACTCCATGATTAACTGTCAAATGAGTCATAGAGATAATCATTGAGAACCCAAAAGACAGTGAAGAATGAACTGGCTGCCTATACTTACAGCTCCTCATGTTAACTTAGATGAAATAAATTTTAATTAATGAAGATCCACATTTCTTATTTGTAAATGGAAAAAAGCCCATATGCTTGCTCCTTAGAAAGCTAAACACAGGGCTACTATATGATCCAGCAATTCCATTCCTAGAATGAAATCAGGGATCAAGCAGTCACTTTTTGGTAAGGCAGTGTTCATGGCAGCATTATTCACAATAGTCAAAAGGTGTAAACAATCTAACCATCCACTCAGAGGAATGGATGAATACATGTGGTATCCCTGTGCAGCAGGATATCATCCAGTTTAACCGCTGCCACATATGGAAAGTCCTAGAAAACACCAAGGGAAATAAGCCAGAAACAAATACAATATGAGGTATCTGGAAGAGGTGAATTCATACAAACAAAATACAGCTGGGGGCGAAGGGGCAGAGGAAAGGGGGAGGTTGTTGGTAACAGGCAGAATTTCTAATGGTTGGGATGACAGAAAAGTTTAGAAATGAATAAGGATGATGGCTGTACATTAGGCATATAGTTAACGCTGCCTGAATTGTACACTTAAAATGGCTAAAATGGAAAACTTCATGTCTCAAAAATGAATATATAAAATGGCACTGAATGATGGGGAAATTATTTAGTATGTCAATGATACCTTAATTTAAAAAAGTTCATTGGCTCATTCATTGAGAAACAGAAAAGCAAATGGGATTCTGTCTCGGGCTCTCAGAGCTGTACAGCTGCAGCAGAGCTGGTGTAGACATCTGGCGGAGGGCAGCTGAGGGCAGCACCAGAGCTAGCGTGGGGCTCCAGGCAAGGTCTCTGAGCCTATAGGGCATTCGAGACCAGTGAGATGTGTGAGAGGCTGAAAAGCACAAAGGAGGAAGGGGAGCTGCCTTAAAAAGACAAAGCCCAGTGACACCGCAGCTGCTTCCTGAGCAGGCAGGCACAGGGAAAGGACTGGCTGCTAGCACAGCCGTGTGATTTGATCAGGAGCTGTCCCATGGGGGGCTGTGACTCCATGCAGCTCCCAGTCCCAGGTCGTAGTGCACAGTGGCTCCTCAGCCTTCGCACAACTGTGGACATGTCCTGCTGCACATGCATGTTCCATGGTTAGTGTTCTGGGCCTAGGCTCTGTGGTCCCTTTACTCACTGGACAGCAGGCTGAATGAAAGCCTATAACATCCAGCCAACACTACCCCCCTGAAACATTATGGAGATCAGAGCAATTACTCATAGCAGTAACAGATTCATTGTGAGGGTCACTCAGCAGTTTTAAGACAGTTAAAACAGGATTTGACCTATTACTCATCTGGAGAGAAAACAACTGGGTTTAGTGTATGCTTTCTAGGTAAACTTGGATCTGATTGGAAACAGGAACAATTCCTGTAGCTCATACTCCACTGGGTTCTGAGTAGTCAAGAAAATGAACACAAATAAGCAAAACATACAAAACTAATTTTGGTCAAACTGTAACCTGATCTAATACAAATTTGGTTCATCTGGAATTCTTGCCTCAAATTCAGAAACTGGTAAAACCAGCTTAAATAGAACTTCTGAAGATACAACAGTCCTCTTTATAAATCAGTCAGTACGTTGTCACTAAAGAATGGCTTTGCAGTTAGCCTAGCTGACTTGTGGGAATTAAAGTCCAGCTCCTTAATAGAAACCCAAGTGCCACCACTCAAGAAGGTCAAGGAGTCTTGCCTGTCAGTTTCATGTTAGTGTCTTATTATGCACTAAGGCGGGTGGGGCATCACCATGACCATGCCGATGGTGGTGGCAGCATGGGACGAGATCGGACTCTCCATAAACTCTTCATAGGTCCCCTCCCTTTGCAGCGTAGGAGACCTAGTGCCTAACGAGCAACTATGAATAGGGCTTAATACTGATTTATCCAACTCTTTGGATTTGGATGCGCCTGGTTTTGGAAAGGAATTATTTTGATGGCTCCACTTCTGATCTCTTCTTTTGTTAGAAATCTCTGTGCTTCACCTAAACACTGTATGCAGATTAGAGAACAGTAGGAAGCTGCCAAATGAATCACTGTAGAAAGGAACACAGATTTGAGATTGCTACCATGATTCTTTAAGCTTACATGTCACGCTACTGGGATTTGTCTACTACTGTATCTAATTGTTACTGATAGCTTATCAATCCCATTATGAGCTGGTTAACAGAAGCAAAAGAGACAGTGATAGGACAGAATGAGAAATATTTGCTTAAATGGCCTTGACAGACATCACTTCTGAATAAGGAGCAAAGCTGCAAGAGCTCACCACTGCATTGTGTTGTCATGGCAATAGATGATTATCATCATTTTAAGATGATGAAAAGAAGCAAGGAGCTAAGAAGAAAAGAATCAGCCCCAAAGGAGAAAACAATGCCAGAGGGTCACATACAAACCCATACCCCAGCCCTGCAGTCCTCTCTGGAATGCGTCCTCTCTGGAATGAGTCCTCTCTGGAATGAGTTTCTGATTTCTATTGCTAATCCCAGGCAATTTCATCCTTCATGACCAAGGTCAGTCCTGATTCCATAGTGAAAAATGCCCTATGTATGAAAATTACTATTTTGACCTTGCCAGGACACTACCAAGTATGGTGGCCTTTACCAGAGTGTTCCATGTGGTGTGTGTGTATAATCGTCTTAGTCCTCGCAGTAGGACTGC